CAAACGGAGACGGAACAATGTGAATAAAGTAGAGCAAAAACATTATTTGTTTTGTAAACCTCCAACTATTTATGAAAGTATACAAGTATTGCTTGGAAAAAAGTCAAAGGAGGAAATAGACTAATTCATTATATTTTATGTTTACTGTACTTTAAATTATTCTCACTAAATAATTTCAAATAATCTTACAATAAAACAATAACTACACAACAATTGATGTCACAAGTGAAGTATCATGGTGAAAGTCAAATAGAACTTTAACTGATGAAGTTGACAACTACAAGGTGAAAGAGTGAGAGTGTGGCTGTCCTTGAGATGATGAAAAAGTTAAGACAAGATCAGGAAGAAATAGACCAAAAATTAAAGAAATGAGACAGAAAGTTTAAAGAAGATTGAGAAAAAAGAAACATAAAATTAAAAGACAACAATAGAAAATTAAAAGACGACCAGGAAATAAAAGAGATGGAAAAATAAAAAAAGAACAAGAAGAACAAAACCTAAAATTAGAAGAAAAAATGCTACAAAATTAAAAGAAATCCAAGAAGATATTTACATAAAATTAAAAGAAGATTAAGAGGTAACAGACATGAATACGAGGAATGAGATAAAGGATTGTTTGTAATTAAGCACAAAGCTACACAATGGGCTATTTGTACTCTGTTCACCACGGGTATCGAAACCCGGATTCTAGCGTTGTAAGTCCGCAGACATACTGGAGTTAAAGGAAAGAAGTGTACTGTTCAAAGAAGATTTACAATATAAAATGCATCTGATTCAAGACAAAATTGATGTAACTATTGGAGATATACAGAAGGATAATAACAATATGAAATGTGAAAAAGCTGTATGGACAAAACAGACAAAGTAAATGTTACGTCTCCGTTTGTTAATTGATTTTCCGTAAATTCGTTCCGACGAAACTTTAGCGACACAAGTCCTTTCTTAAATAAAACGGGTTTATTCTTTCCGAATACAACTTTATGATACACTTATTTTCAACAATCGCGCTAAAACAAACGCTATAACAACGAACGTGCTCAACTTCAATAATACTTTCTCACTGCAGATCAATTACTCACTACCTACACACACATTATTATGTCACGTCACGCCGTGACCATCTTATATATACCAGACCCCCCCCCCCAATCTAGTAAGTGCTAGAGCACTTTTGATTTGACAAAACTGACAAAGTAAAGAAGGATGTCAACGAGGAAGACTAGAGCGTCATTGACAGAATAAAACTTTTGGGAAATGAATTACTAAATGCTAAAATTCAAATAACTCACACCTCTTTCTACATTGGCTCAAGAGTCCCAACCTAAAATACTGTTACGTCTCCGTTCGTTAGTTAATTTCCCGTAAATTTGTTCCGACGAAACTTTAGCGACACAAGTCCTTCCTTAAATAAAACTAGTTTATTCTTTCTGAATATAACTTTGCGATACACTTAATTTCAACAGTCGCGCTATAACAAACGCTATAATTCTCAACGAACGTCTGACGTGCTCGACTCAACAATACTCAGTTCAATTATACTGTTACGTCTCCGTTTGTTAATTAATTTTCCGTAACTTCGTTCCGACGAAACTTTAGCGACACAAGTCCTTTCTTAAATAAAACGGGTTTATTCTTTCCGAATACAACTTTACGATACACTCAACTTCAACAGTCACGCTATAACAAACTATAATTCACGTCTCACGAGCTCGACTTCAACAATACGTCTCTCTCTGACTGCAGTTCAATTACTCATTACTTACACACATTATTTCGTCACGTTG